GAGTTTTCGCCCCTCAAACGGGCCTGTTCCAATTTTATTTCAACATTTTGTCAAACACATGGTAAGCAAGAGGGTGAAAGGGGAGGAAGAAGGCGAAATACAGGGTGTGCTCTAATGGTTGCTGCGAGCGAGAAATAGAGAGAAAAACCGCTGCTCTTGCGAGAGAGAGAGAGAGAGAGAGAGAGAGAGAGAGAGAAAGGAAGAGGCTGGAAATACCTGGTGTGTGCTGGAGGAGACACAAATCGAAGAGCTACTGTTGTCCGTTGCTGGTGGGGAGATGGGTGGTACCGTAGCTGGTGGGGAGGTGGGTTGTACCGTCAACGGTGAGGAGGTGGGTGCTTGTGTGCGACAGTGGTGGACGGTGGCCGGTAGGAGGGTCGCCTGCGATGGAGAGAGCGAGAGACAGAAAGAGAGAGGTGATGAGAGAGTGAAATGGGAAAGGACTGTATCTAATTAATTAAGGGACAAATGCTGACTAAATTTTTATTTAGTAGCTAAAATGTTATCTAACGGCAACTAAATATTATTTTAGCTGCTAAAAGTAGTAATTTGGTGACTAAACATTTTAGTCGCCAATTAATTTTATAAATCCCTCCAAAATTCAAAATTTTCCCACCAAATATTTTGGCGACTAAAATATTTTTTAGTGGCTAAAAATAAATTTTTGACGACCAAACTTTTGGTCGCCAAAGATAAAAAGTAAATTTTTATTTTTTATTCGGTAACAAAAAAAATTTAGCAACCAAAACTAGCCATACAGCGACTAAATCATTTTTTAGTCACTGAAAATAAATTTTTGGCAACGAAACTTTTAGTTGCCAAAAGTTTAGCTGCCAAAAGTCTGAAAGTAAATTTTTACTTTTTATTTGGAAACTAAAAAATTTTAGTAGCCAAAACTATCTATACAGCGACAAACATTTTTTAGTCGCCAATTATGGCATTTTTTGCGGCTAATTTTTTTTTAGTCGCCGATAATCAAGATTTTCCGATTAAAAAAAAATTAGTAGCTAAATATTGTACTTTTGGAGACCAAAAAAATTTTTAGTCTCCAATTTCACACGTTTTGGGGACTAAATTTTTTTTAGTTGCTTAATTTGGTCGCCAAAAGTACATTTTGTTGTACTGTGTATTAAATAGAATATACATATAATAAATTGATTTGATCGGATATCAATAGCATTTCAATCAAATTGCCCTTTTATCCAACCCCACCAAATCATCCTTCTTTCATTTTTTGTACATGAAATTAATTAGAAACATTACAAAAACTACATAAAAACTAAACAGTTATAATCTAACAAATATAGGTATAAACCCAATCGCCGTCATAAGATTTTTTTTTTTTTTTTTTTTTTTTTTTTTTTTTTTTATATATCTCTCTCTAAAAACCTCTCTTTTCCTTCTCTAAAAACCTCCTTCTCCGGTCTCTTTTTTGGGCCGGCTGGCCGCCGCCTTTGGCTATGGCGGTCGGCTGGCCTAGCTCGCTTTTCCCTTTGTTTTGTTAGTTTTTCTTTTCAATAATATTGAGTCCCCCGGTTCTACCCACCTAGGTGTGTTTTGTTGCTGCGGGAGAGTGTTTGGTGTGTTCTCGTTTTGTCTTCAGTTTGTCCTCATGTGTTTCAACCTTGCCGTAATATCTGATTCAGCAGGGAGGTATTTCACTCGAGCGCTCTTTGGCGAGTAGGAGTTTGAGGGGTGCGCTTTTTGGGTGGAAACAAGGGTATCGTAGGCGTTCCAGTTTCTGTCTGGTTGTCACTCGAGCGCTCCTCCTCGAGTGAGAGTTTGAGGGGTGAAGTTCTACCATTTGTTTGGAGGTGTCCAAGCGGGTGGTCGATGTTCGGTGGGTGTGCGGATCCGCGGCGTGAGATTGAAGACCTGTTGGTTATGGAGTTTGGCAGAGGGTATTAGGTGTGAGTTAGAAGATGATGAGAGGAGTAGTAGCAGCATGGTGTGGGCACTGGGCGTTTGGCGGAGGGTATTGGGTGGCGTGAGATTGAAGACTTGTTGGTTATGGAGTGTGGCAGAGGGTATTGGGTGTGAGATTGAAGATGAGGAGAGGAGTAGTAGTAGCTTGGAGTGGGCACTGGGAGTTTGGCAGAGGGTATTGGGTGTGAGATAGAAGTTGAGGAGAGGAGTAGCAGCAGCATAGAGTGGGCATTGGGAGTTTGGCAAAGGAGGTGTAGTCTTCCCGGTGGTGGCGTTGGTGTTTTTCTTGGCCGGAGTGGGGTGTTGACGCAGCAGAGGCATGGGGAGTTGATGCAGCAGAGGCGTGAAGCATGGGGAGTTGTAGCAGCAGAGACGTGGTCTTGGCAGAGGCGTGGGTTGCTGATTGGACGTGGACTACTGTGGGTCTTGTTTAGTTAGTTTTTTTTTAGTTTGTTTTGGGTGCTTTTGTGGGTTTTTGGGGGATTCATGTATTTTATTTTCTAGTTAAGTTCTTCTTAACTTTTTAATTTAAAAAATCGAGAGGCTTAGGGGTTGGTTGTATGAATGCGAGTAGCAATAGTAAGGGTATTTTTATACTTCTAAATTTCTCTCGATGCATCTCATCTTCCTGTACTTTTAATTTCATGCTGTTAAAAGAAATTTTTCTTTGCCGATCAAAAAAAAAAGAATTTTTTTTGTTCCCGACAATAATTGACTCTTTGACTTCATATAAAAGAGTGTACATGAATGATCAACTGAGTTAGCCTAATTGATTTTTATTTTTTTTAATTATCCAACTTGAGTTTTGTACTAAAACTTAATATGATAATGGTTCATTGATATAATAAATTCCTACACTAACAAACTTATTTATTTTTCCTGGTTGTCTTTTCTTGTTTTTTATTTTTTATTTTTTTCTTTTTGATCTTCTTAATAGTGCCTAGAAAATTAATTTTCTAACTCTCCAAGTTATTACCAAAAGATAAGATAAATTCACTAGAATTGATAATGATAAAGCAAATTGAATCATCTGTTTGCTAGAACTCAGTTTGCACTTCATGAAATATTATTTATTGAATTTTTATAAAAGAAATAATTTTAAATCACTTATAAATTATTAAGTTTCCTATATATATCATTATCAGATAATGTAAAACACAGTTATCGGCGCCACAAAACTGTAACTCATTCTTCGCGCTATAAATAAATAGTTAAGTAAACACAATTACAAAGAAATTATACTTTGTTAGAGTTTAAAACAAGAATGTTACACATAAGCTTTGAATTCTCTCAAGTTAAAAGAGAGCGTTTGAATTTGATTAGCCCATTTTGAAATTACACTCGGTGATTCGAACCGTTCACCTTTTAAGATTTATTAAGTAAAATATTCATACAAAAAATTTACATGATCAGATATCAGTGGCTATATGTTTTAATCATATTAGTTTTGAAAAAATGGATGTCAATTATAATTTCAAGAATAGTTATCTAATTTTTTGTAATACAAATATATAGCTACCAATGTCTGATCCTCTTGATTTTTTATATAAATATTCTACTTACCAAGTCCTAAAAAGTGAATTTTTTGGATCTCTGAGGCCTAGTCCAAAATGGGTCCACCAAGCCCAAACACTGTTTCAAATTAAAATGACTAACTTGAGAAAATTCAAACCTTTAGAGATAATTGAAACAAATTTAGTTTCTCTCCAATGCATTTATTTAGACTAGAGGATGTTGTTGGTCAATCTTGGTAATCTAAATTACTTATCTTGTAAAGTTTGTAAAGAAAATCATTCATTCGAAAGATCAAGTTGATCATACATTGATAACCAAATAATTGGATCACAAAATCATGCCAAAATACGATATTCTTAAAATTATACTTGTTATCCATTTTTAAATGATTTTTATAATCTAATCATGTGGTTATCGATATTTGATAAATTTGATTTTTTGCATAATAACTTTCTCCGTGAACTGATTAAAAAGAATAATTTGTATTACCGGGGACCAACAATACTCCCTAATCCAAATGGATTTGGACAGGAAATAGGCTAAATCCATTGAAAAAATGTTCATACATAAATATGATAACAACACAATGGGCACATAGTTGGCAATCCACTGTGAAAATTTTACAGGATTCTTTGTTGAGGCACACATCTACAAAAAAAAAAAAAAAAATTGTTAAATACATTTTGTATTAAATTTCTGTTTTCGAAAACTCATCGCATCAATATATAGAGATCTATTTTGCTACCACTAAGAGAATGGATGCACATAATACATATGAACTAATAAAATTTTATAGAATTTGGTAATAAGACTTACTTCTATCTTGTTCATCTATTTTGTATCTAAATCTATAATCGATTTATTAATTTATAGATGAGAACCGATGTATCACTTTTTTTACTTTATATTATTATTATGGGTAATGTTTAAGTGTGCAACCTTAAAAGGTTGCACACCATGTGCCAGGTGTAAATGCCTTGCATATGTTGTAAATGCACACTTAAGAAAGTGTAAATCCAAGGTGTAAGTGTGCCTTGCATATGGTATGCAAGGCACACTTAAGAAAAGTCCTATTATTATAAATGTTTTCAAGACATTTAACAAAATATCATTTGTATTCATTATATATTTTTTTTAAATCATTCTCAAACAAAATAATCAACAATGAGCCGCAATAGAAAATCGGTTACATATAACATTTTTGCTGTTTAATTTATTTATGAATAATACTATATGTACTAATTAATGTATACATTAGTGTATTAACAGATGATGTGATATTATTTGTATGATTTTCAGTATTTGTAATTTGTATAATAAATATGATCAATAATAATATCATAACACTAATTAATATATTAATATATACACTAATTAGTGCATGTAGCACCACCGTCTATTTATACAGAGATGACAACGAGCCAGAGAGGAAATGACGAATGCTTGGAAGAAATTGAGGCAGTGAAAGTTGGGCTGTTAAGAAGCCATAATGACCTATGGATGAAATTTAAACACCAAATGCCAATCTTTTTTCTCTCTCTCCACAGCAATAACTCCCTCCTCTCTCTCTCTCTCTCTCCATTAATACTTTTGCACCCTTTATACGCTCTGCAATTACTTCTCTCGCTGCCACATCTCTCTCTTCTCTTTCCTTCTTCCCCTTCTCACCCTCCTCTTCAAAACCCTCCATCTCTCTCTGTCTCTCTCTTGTGATTATATATCCTCTTTTTTTTCGTCCGTTTCATTTCTCTCTCAACTATTCTTAAATTCTTTTTCACAAGAAAGGTCACAATCAAAACCGCCTTTAAAAACAACTCTGCATCCTCCAAAAAGTGGTTTTCCGTTGACCCACTTGCCTGAAAACCAGATCTGAGCCTTCTCTCACTTAGCTAATACTATAACTTCAAAAGGGTTTCTCTGACGTCACTAAAAAGAAACTCCAACACAAGTAAGTTTCATTCACTATACCCATATCCAAACTCAATTTCTCTGCATGATTTGTAATCTCAATTTATTTTTCCGTTATGTTTTGCACAGAGAGAGAGAGAGAGAGAGAGAGAGAGAGAGATCTTTGTGGGCGTTACAGCCACGCTGGTTTGAAATTAGTGGTGTCAATAGGCCAGTTCAGACACATACTCACTGAGTCAACTCTGGTGATACTTTTTTTATTATTTTTGTTTTTTTTGGGTATCAAATTGGTTTCTTTGCACGTAAAGACAGATTAGATAAAAAGTCTTGTTTGAAAGTCATTTCTAGTCTCTTATAACATGTAACCATCTCATTAGCTTGCTTTCAGACTCTGCCAGAGAATCTATTAAAACTCAACGCCCAAGAACCCAAAACCAACCCATAGTCCTCCACCACAAATATGTGTGTGTGTGTGTGTATATATATATATATAGAGAGAGAGAGAGAGGGAGAGAGAGAGAGTTTTCTAGGGTTTGTGTGGGTGGGTAAAAGATGTACTCTCTTAGGGTTTGTGGGTGAGTGAGATATGCCTATCTTTGCAGCTCATCAAGCAAGCTATGCAATTTCCATGAAGAAAAAGAATGATAGAGTTTGTGGGTTTGGATTGTTTTCCGAGCTAAATCAAATTCAGGTCAGGACTTAGACTGAGACTCGGCCTCAGTATTATCTCCATTGAATTAAAGACCCTTGGTTTCTAATCTGTGTTCTATATATGTTTTTCTTTTCTTTAAATTCATTTTCTTAATCTATACTGTGATTATTTATTTACTGCCCTTATCCTTATCATCTTTCTTTTGATATACAAATTGTACCCTTTTTCAATTTTTATTTTTTATTTTATTATTATTATTTTTTAAATTTGCAAAGAACAATGCAATTTGAGATCTATTAGATCATAAGCTAGGGCATTAAGATAATTCAAGCAAAATCCTTCTTGGTAGAACCGCCATAAGTTCTTTTGGGAGAGAGGAACAGAGAAAATTTTCCCAGGTATATATATATCGAAAAAGCTATATACTCAGAAAAAGTAACTCGAAAAGTGGTCTTCTCATCTACATGTTTTCCAACTTGGATTTCATTCTTGAGAGTTAGTATCATAAATTGAACCAATTTGTGAGTATGTTTTTACAGTGATCTAACTTATGGGTGCCCTTTTACTTTCGTTATGTTGATAGATTGGGAAACAATAGCTTGGGAAGTGGGGAACCCTAAAGATCTGTGAAGATGTTTCAGCCAAACATGTTTGATACTCATGATTTACTAGATATGACCCACAAAACCCCGGAAACTGAGTTGGATATGCTTAGAGACGATGAATTTGAGAGCAAATCAGGGACCGATATCATGGAGGCCCCCTCCGGTGAGGATCAAGATCCCAACCAACGCCCCAACAAAAAGAAGCGGTACCATCGACACACACAGCATCAAATCCAAGAAATGGAAACGTAAGTATTCATTATTTTCTTTTATGTTTGTGTGTCTCAAATTCCAGACTTGCTTTTCTTTTATGTTTGTGTGCGCCTCAAATTCAAGACTTACCACAGGCGAGACTTTTTCTTCCCTCTCATAGTTTGACTACCGTGTCTGATGTGCAAAAAGAGAAGGGGGGAGAAAATATGATTTTAAATAATGGTAGCTTGATAGTATTTGTATTTTTTGATAATGAACAATTTTGGCTGATATATCAATAAATATCTATATAAAAAATCTAAATCCCCATATTTATCTGCCAAATATTTAACACCTTGGGAGAATTATTTTTGTTAGAGGATTTGATTCTAATTGATTTGTGAATTTTGTTACAGTTTCTTCAATGATTGCCCTCACCCGGATGATAAGCAAAGGAAGGATCTGGGCCGTAGATTAGGGTTAGAACCTCTACAAGTTAAATTTTGGTTCCAAAACAAGCGCACACAGATGAAGGTAATGGTGATCTAACTGTATAAGTATTAGTAATAACGTCATATATTTCAAAATTCTGTTACAATGATATATTAGCCAATGTCAAATAGTAACGACTAACGACTGATATGAGTTAATGGTCGTTTAATGGCATTGCATATTCATCAGTATCAGTAATATATTAGTTGATATTAAACTGTATTTGTTGATATGAGTTAATATCAATATCGGAATCTAAAATCGCCATAACTATTTATCCATATCTAAAATCTTGCTATGTATATGTATTAATTGCGGCTTTATGACAGTCCCAACATGAGCGACATGACAACTCACTGTTGAAGGCTGAGAACGAAAAGCTTCGTGCAGAGAACATAAGGTACAAAGAAGCCCTTAGCAATGCTACTTGTCCCAACTGTGGAGGCCCCGCTGCCATTGGTGAGATGTCCTTCGATGAGCAGCATTTGAGGATCGAGAATGCTCGTCTACGAGATGAGGTAATTAATGAGAATATACACATGTTAAAACAAAGTTTTAAATAGTGATATTGTGAGACGAATAAGCATTGATTCCGATATAATAGTATGGGAAGGGTCAACCATCATTTGCCATTGAATATTTTGTCATATGTATCATTTTAATCACAATTATTAGATCATGTAAGAATCTTGATATATAAATATCTCAAAACATATCTAACGGCTGTCAATCATTTGGAATAAGGGAAGAGAAATGTTTGGCGACAGATAATCAATTGAGAGAGTATCAAGTGATTGGTACAACGAATTGAGTCATAAAGTTTGAATTTATTATTATTGTTTTTATTTGCGTGTAATTATATAAAATTTTGAGATAATTACCTTTTTAGTCTCCAAAGGGATTTATGCTATTTTGATCACAATTCAATTGTGTCAATTTAGTACTCAATTTAAACATCAGGGATTAAAATGATACATATAACATGTTTTAGGAACTAAAAATGTAATTAATTCTAGTATGTTCTTACCAAAATAGTGCGGTAACGACATTTAAATATAAATGACATTAATGGACTTTTGTTTTTAAATCAATAGGACATAAGGCTGCCGCATTCTAAATAAAAATTCTTTGTAAATTTTGTGTTTGTATAGTATTGCTCTTTCTATACTATCCGTAGCAAAATAGAGGTTTGTTGCAGCCAAATTAATTGTATTAGCTATGAACCAGTTGTATCCGCTTGGAATAGGATTGTAAATAGACTATGGGCCAATATGTATCATGAATCTGTTGATACGCATGCAATTTTCGTTCACATAGAAATACTGAGATCTATTGGGTACTATTCAAAACCATAATATTAACAAGTTATTGTTGCAACTTCCAATTTCAGGAACTCATTTGGTGATTGTAATTGAAACTAAAATGTGTGTATATATACTTTGTTGCCATATTGACATGATATCTAAAACCATGACATTAATAACCAGTCTTTTGTGCTTTTAATTGAAAACTGAAGTGTTTTCACACATACTTTTGTTTCCAGATTGACAGGATTTCTGGAATTGCTGCAAAATATGTTGGCAGGACTGGGCTTTCCCATCCCAATGGACCACCTCGTGCACTTGACCTTGGTGTTGTCAATTTCATGCCACAGCCCAGCATGGTAGGTGACTTGTATGGAGCTGGTGACCTTCTCAGGTCGGTCTCAGCCCCCACTGAGCAAGACAAGCCTATGATCATCGAGCTTGCAGTTGCAGCAATGGAGGAACTCATCAAAATAGCACAAACCGGTGAACCCTTATGGATTCCGAGCCCTGATGACTCCACTGAGGTTTTGAGCGAAGATGAGTACTTGCGAACCTTCCCTCGTGGTATAGGGCCGAAACCATTGGGGTTAAAATCTGAAGTTTCCCGCGAATCTGCAGTTGTTATTATGAACCACATTAACCTTGTTGAGATTCTAATGGATGTGGTATGCTTATAACTTGTTCCCTTCACACTTTTCTGTGTCACCTTCGTTTTAGGTAAAGTTATCAGGATACATATCAAGCAGTGATTGATGTATTAGTAAAACCTAGGTATTAAAAGTCCAAAATCTTGATAATCTATATTTAAAACCCTGGTGTCACCATGTCAATGTTAGTTTATTGGCACTTTCTTTCTGACGTGATTATCAATGATTGTTATTAGAATCAATGGACAAGCGTGTTTTCGGGCATTGTTTCAAGAGCACTAACCTTGGACATCCTATCAACTGGAGTGGCAGGGAATTACAATGGAGCTTTGCAAGTGGTACTCAACAAAATTTTGAATGTTTCTTGAAATGGTTCTATTAATTTCAGTAATTGAGGATAAAACTAAATGTTAATGAAACTATATTCTTATCTTATTTATCTAACTTGCAATTGATGTAAGATGTAAAAGGATTTATCCTTGTTTTTGATTCAATAAAGTTTATTTTTTGCTGATAAAAAAAAAAAAAAAAACTTGCAATTGTTTCAGATGACAGCTGAGTTCCAAGTCCTATCACCACTCGTCCCAACTCGTGAAAACTACTTTGTAAGGTATTGTAAACAGCATACCGATGAAACTTGGGCGGTGGTCGATGTTTCCTTGGAAAATTTACACCCTAGCGTAATATCACGGTGTAGAAAGAGGCCTTCTGGTTGTTTAATTCAAGAATTACCAAATGGTTACTCAAAGGTAACTATTTCGATCTCTTTTATTTTTGTTTTTTTGTTTTGCATACATGTTTGATAAAGCTATTCACTAAATGCTAAGCTATTCACTAAATGCTATGCTAATGTGCCAGGTTATATGGGTTGAACATGTTGAAGTGGATGATAGAGCTGTTCACAATATATACAAACGGCTAGTTAATTCAGGCCTTGCATTCGGAGCAAAACGTTGGGTAGCTACATTGGATCGACAATGTGAACGCCTTGCAAGCGCAATGGCCAATAACATACCGGCAGGAGATGTTGGAGGTACTATCTTTTCCCATTTTAACAACGACACATCAACAAAAATTTGAATATCATCCGGCATATTATCAATATATAAAAGATGTGTCACATCAAACCAATGTTTTTAGTACCCAACCCAAATTTTCTCATTTTCATCATCATGACTTGCAAAAAAAGATTACATTTTGTTGACATAAAAATTGCTTTAATGGTGTTTACATTGCAGTAATAACTACTATAGAAGGGAGGAAAAGTATGATGAAACTGGCTCAGCGAATGGTCATCGGCTTTTGTTCTGGTGTCGGTGCTTCTACAGCACACACATGGACAACACTATCAGGAAGTGGTGCCGATGATGTACGTGTCATGACAAGGAAGAGTATGGATGATCCAGGCAGGCCTCATGGTATCGTGCTAAGTGCTGCAACCTCATTTTGGCTACCGGTTCCACCAAAAAGGGTTTTTGATTTTCTTCGCAATGAGAATGCTCGAAATGAGGTAGGGAAAATGTTTTCAATTCATTCTCCTCTTAATCTCTGCAATTTCTAATAATTTAAAATTTAAAAATTGGCAATTGTTCTTGATGCATTCGATCTTTTTGCCAATTACCTACAAGCATAAAGTATCATATTCTGTTAATAGAAGACATGTTGGTACATTTGGATTCAAATTGAGAAAGGGATAAGAAGGCACAAATACTTGAAACTATACCATTGAGCTTGTTTGGTTGTGTTTTTGCTTTACACTTTTTCCATTTTTTTGTGTTTTTAGAAAAAGAATAGAAAGTTTGAAAACACCCATTGATTGTATTCTTTGTTTGATTTAGTTTCTGTTTTCAGTTTTCATGTTTTCGGAAACAAAACAACAACAGAATTGAAAATACCATAGCTTTCATTTTTGTACAAAAACAGTTCACAAATAGAAATGTAAATTGTTTTCACAAAAAATTTTCAGAAACTTTTTTGCATACAAATTTATGTGTTTACTGAAAAATGAAAATAAGAGACACAAAACAGAAACACAATCAAACACAATGACTGTACCTCTCTCATACTATTTAATTTCCCTATCCTTGTGCAAACAGGGCATCAAAATTTCAATCTTCAAACCTACCTACTTTAAGCCTCTACATTTGTAATGTTGAAAGAATAGACTTCATAAGATCAAAAACTACAATTTCTTGTTCTCCTATCTCAATAATTTGCATTTTACTGTAATACAGTGGGATATCCTCTCAAACCGCGGTGTAGTTCAAGAAATGGCACACATTGCAAATGGTCGCGATCCTGGCAACGCAGTCTCCCTCCTGCGTGTTAATGTAAGTCATATTTTCTTCATATTTATCCTGCTTACAATCTAACATTTTTATTTAATCTGCTTCTATCAATTGAATTAGACTGACACATCTGTTATGTCAAAATATACCATAGAGTGGAAACTCAAGCCAAAGCAACATGCTTATACTACAAGAGAGTTGCACCGACTCAACAGGCTCTTATGTTATATACGCTCCTGTCGATATTGTTGCTATGAATGTGGTATTAAGCGGTGGAGACCCGGATTATGTTGCTCTCTTACCATCTGGTTTTGCAATACTTCCTGATGGGCCGATGCATCTTGGGGGAGGAATTCCAGAAGGTGTGTCTGGGGGATCACTATTGACCGTTGCGTTTCAGATCTTGGTTGACTCAGTTCCAACGGCGAAGCTCTCTCTTGGATCAGTGGCAACAGTAAATAGCCTTATCAAGTGCACAGTTGAAAGGATTAAAGGCGCTATAGGCAGCGAAAATGTATGACCAAAGAAAGGTCTTACAAGGTGAGCCAATCTTCAAACTTATCTCATTTAATTTAACTCTAATGCATGGTATTAAATAACAATATTGGAATATTTATTGATATCAGTTACACGATCATATATTGGCCCAAACCAGACAATATCAGCCACTATATCGATAAATTTTTGTATTGAAAGTCCAAAATTCTAAAACATATCAATGGACATTTAAAACTTTTCTTTAATGTCATGGTTTTAATTTGGCTAAAGATTGAACAAATCAGATTAAAGATTGGATTTCATAAGATGTGTTCAATTAAAGATTCATTCTTGTAGTGTCATGATTTTTCATATGATGTGTTCAAGTTTTCCAACCAAGTAATATCATTTATTTTTAATGGTAAAAACAATGAGGGTGCAAGATTTGAATGATATATGTTTATAATTTTTGTGTGTACAGTATGCCTCTAATTTACTCTTTAGGGCAGTATCATATAAATGGAAATTGGGGACACTAATTGCAAAAAAGTACAGTGAAAGTAAAAATTGTTTAGTGCAAAGGAGAATTGTGTCCAGTACAACTAATTGTAAAGTTTCTATTGATTTGTAATTTGTTTATCGGTTTTTTATTTATATGATATTCCCCTTTTCGCTAATCTTATTCTCAAAAATGGCTAAATTTGAGAAGGGTCTATTGTGGACCTTTTTTCCCCCCTCTCCTTATTTGTCTACACTATGCATCTAACAGAATAGTACAAAACATTAAAAAATTTTAAAAAAAATAAATAAATTAATTACAAATAAGTGGAGTACAAATGAGAATTGTGCTCAGGGAAATTATGTGCAAAGTTTCTATTGAATTGCAATTAATTTTCCTAATAATTTCCGTTTTTCTAATATTCCTCTTTTTGGTATCTTGTTATAAGCAATTGCTAAAATTTGAGAAGGCTCTAATTTTTATTTTATTTTTTATTTTTATTTTTTTCACTCTGCAGTGAAAATCAAAGAAGATGATTGAAATCATGGCTGGGTTTTACTCTGAAGAAGCAAAACAAAGTCAAGAACGCACCTTAATGATCCTTGCCTTGTGGTGTTTGTCTGGCAAGAAAATCAGCAAGAAAGCATTTCACCACCCTGCAAGGATAATAGGTTCGGGTATTGACTTCCATTAGTGATTCCAAGAGTAAAAAACGAATCTCTTCTTTTCACATAACTTATATAAACTCCCCAATTCACCTTTGTTTTTCTTTTGAGGACTAGGTTTTTGTGCATGTGTTTTTTCCTAAAGAGATTTTTGGTTGTTTGGATTGTAGTAGCTCAGTCAGACTAATTTCTGAAATTGCAGTAGATTTTTTTTAATCTATATATGCAACTTTTGTTGTCTATTGCTTGTGGCCTCATATGGTTTACAAATCAACTCATTCTTATGATGATTTTAAATATTGATTGATACATAGAGGTGAATATGTATATGTTTTTGGGATATACATCTTGGTATATCGTAGAAATAAAACTTAGATGTGCATTAGCCGGTTTGCTATAGATATTAATTCATAATCATTTCGTAGTTTAGATCATAATTGATACAATAAGTTTATATTAATAATCATTTCGTAGTTTAGATCATAATTGATACAGTAAGTTTATATTAAAGTGATTTTTATGTACTTAATGTGTTAACAAAAACCGTGCCCAATATTTTCTTTTTACTCTATTGGTATGTAGTTGTAAAATACTAGCACTAGAACATGCCTTAGGGACACAAGAAAAAATATAAAAAATACGAGACATTTTTCATAAATTTCTAAGCATTCTTTTACTAATTTTACATATATTTTTCACTTTTTCACTTATTTTTAAAGCACTTTTCACTCTATGCATTCTAGTAGTCAGCCCACTAGTTACTATTTACCTCTAAACAATTGGTGCCTCTAATGGTGCCATCTTAGCATGTTTTAGATGTATATTTGTGATGGTTACATACAGAATGCATGTGTAAATAAATATATATAATTTAGCAACGAAGAAGATGAATAGAAATTATTTGTGAAATTTTGAATATATTCACATGACAATTTTCTGATATAGTGTAGATATTTTTCAAAACAAAAAAAAAAAAAATGTCCACACCTAAACTTCATATGATAGAATAAATAAATTTGATTGTGATAGTTCAATATGCACAAGTTGAGAGGCCCACAACTAACCTACAACCCCCAACCCTCACCCAAAGCATTAGAAGACAAGTAATAAATTAAGAATAATGTTATATACACTAACTGGTATATTAATTAGTATAACAGATGATATGTTATAATTTTAAAGATTTTAAATATTTATAATTTGTGTAAAGAGTGTGATGAGTAATAATATCATAATATATGTTGATACACTAATTAGTATGTTAATTGATACATATAACACTACTAATAAATTAATAAAAGAAAATTAAACAAAGAAGAAAGAGAATTTATGCTCGTATGCATACCAGGAAAGTAATTGCAGGGAAGACATTACCTCTACGACATATAGAATAATGTTAGGGATACCAAATTTTTTATTGCAGACTCCACATTCATGTCAAATATTTAATCATTTATTTAGTAAAAAATTTGAAACTTATAGCATTTTCCCAACATATATGAGATGACATTAATGACAATTTAAACTATAAAGGGGTTGAGAAACTGAGTTGTTGAAACCAATAAATGTGTATATAAGCGGTGGCATGTTTCATGCGTTTATTGACAAAATTATAAATTTGTTTAACTTAAATTAACCTCAAATAACTTAGTGATTATAGCCTTTCAAAAATTTTGATCAAGATTATCAATTATTTCTAAATTGACACAAAATCTAATCTTTAGGATAAAATTTGAGATAATTGAAATTACAAGAATTAAAATAACACAAAAAATAAAATGCAGAGACTACTAATATAATTTACCCTATAAAACATTATTTGAAATTCCAAGTATTCCACTTGCTTATCAATTTTTCAACCCCTATAAGTCACGGGATTGAGGGTTGCTGTTGTGCCTTATGGCATAGCAACCCTGCTGTGAGGGTCTATAAAAGTATTTACCGAGTGTATTTGATGATCTGAATTGTTGATATTGTAAAGTTTGTCGAGTATATTATCCAGATAAAAAATCAAATTAATCGAACATCTGTAACCTCATGATTAAGTCCTAATTGCCTTTAAAAAATTATTAAACTGGTGACCATTTATTTTTTGAAAAACAAATGTACTATTATTATAAGGCCACAAATGTTCAAATTACTTGATTTTTTGTATGGATAATTTACTCGACGAATCTTACAATATGAATGGTTTAAATAATCAAAAAAGACTCGAGACGCGCTCCTATTAAGCCTCACAGCAACCTTTTGTGCCTTATGGCACAGTAGGTACCGCAATTCCATAAGTCACCTCCTTCACGGCATAAACCAAATAATATATATATATATATATATTTTTGGTGGTTGTTGATAAAAATACAACTTTAAAAACTAGCTTACAAGGAGAGTGTTCAAAAGCCTAATATTCAGTAGGGTGTGCAGTGGATATTTCAATTCGCTCAAACTGACCGAACTAAACAGATTTGTCGCATTTTAGATGGATGCGTGATGACGAGCGGACGGTTGCGGATTGATTTTTTCAATTTACTTAGTTTTGGACGGATGACGGATTTGAAATTTTTTTAGCCGCAACCAAACTACCGAACCGTCAAACCACAAGCACCCCTAGTAATTTATAAAACTTTGTATTTTCAATTTGTTTAGATATTCTATTGGTATTTTCAATTGAAAAAGAATTTAGATACTGTGGACGTCCCCGAACGCCCCGGGAGGATGAAGTCCCGTTCTGTTCATTTGGGGTCACTACAGCTCAGGACTCTAAAATTGTCACGGTTCTAAGTCTGAACCAAATAGTCCAAATCCAGCACATTGTTTTAAGAAAACAGATTTTTGAAAGAAGTGCCAAACATGGACTGCTTTGCCAGATACAGAGTCGCCACCTAAATATTTTATTTTGGGAAATTTAGGAAACCATAATTTGCAAAGAATCTTATACTAATTTCCAGTTAGAATTTCAAGAAAATGAAGATGGAGAAAAAGAATGTCTGTAAGCAATCAGTACCCAGTTGAATTCTTTCCATTAATAAGCCATAATAAATAAAAAATTATATTTATGAAATCTATGAATTAAGTTGAACATTATGAAGTGGGGCAAACACAGACCGTTGGAGCTTGCAGATGAGAGAGAGAGAGAGAGAGAGAGAGAGGAGAGGAGGTGTGTTTGTCTTGGGATTGTTAGCAGATGAGAGAGAGAGTTGATATATATTAGTGGGTAGGTAGGTGAGAGTATATAATATATATTAGAGAGAGATGAGTACATAATATATATTAGGCGGGGCAGAAACGGGGACGGGGTCGGGCCGGGGCCGGGGCGGAATTTCTTATCACCGTCCCCAGCCTGAAAATGACCGGGATTTTTTTTTTTTAATACCATCCCCGACCCGTCGGGAGTATTTTTCGGGAAAAAACTGTATTAATCGGGGTCGGGTTCTCGTCGGGCCGGGTTTAAATTGCCATCCCTAGGCCTAACCAAACACAAGATTGGAGAGGAGGGGGTGGGAGTGCCGATGCTAAATTGTATTAATTTAGATAAAGGGCGTACCCAGTGCACGAAGTTCCCACTTAAGCAGGGCCTAGGGAAGGGTTGATGTATGTAGCCTTACCCTCGCAAATGGAGAGGTTGTTTTCGCGACTCGAGCCCGTGACCACCAGGTCACCAAGGGGTAGCTTTACCGCTACACCAGGCCCACCCTTCTTGTATTAATTTAGATAACTCAAAATATTATTTTTCATCAAAAAAAAAAAAAAAGGCACACTGCATTCTTATTGATGATTGGATAAACAGTAGAAAGTGGAAATGAATAAATATGTAATAATTCTGTCATGATGTCATCTATTCATTTTATCAGATCAATACTTCAATATGGTATTTGTTATTTTAAAATGTGCGTTGAACGTTTGCTGAATTATGCTCATTACAGGTATGTCCTGAAAGTCACAATCAGTCGTGGCTATGCCGGCAGCATTGTGGAATACCAAGATTTTGTGGTAATCTTCTCTTACCATATCTTCCTTTCTCTCTCATACACATGCATACGCTGGTGATTGACCAACCTTTTGAACTTTTGGTCAAAAAACATTGAGGTTATAATCTACCACTTCTGAAGAAGAAATGTTAGGTTGAATGTCAATATTTTATGATTTTGTGTGAAATATCAATGCACTGGTTTTGGGAGGATAATTTAGCCACTTCTGAGTACTGAGTTTGGCTCATATATTGGTCTCTATTTAGCTATACCTGCAATACCACTATTGTTAAGAATTATGTACAATCATCATATGGTTACACATTAACACCTTCATCTATAGAGGCGTGCTTTGGCTTTAGACTAAGGTGGTTGCAATGTCTATTCCTTGGGCCATGTTTGTTGGTAATACTTGAGACCTGCTATAGATGTGCTTGAATTCTTTGCAACTCTTAATCTACCTTTCTTTTGAGCTGGTCTCAATCTTTGACGAAGGAATGTTGTAACAGGAAGATAGCTAACATAGAGCTTTTATCAAATCAGTACTTAATTAAACTGCTGATGTCATAGAGATCCTTGTGATCTTCCATTTATCCCTGTGGATTTGGAATCCCTCTCATGTAAGCCCATGGAATTTTAACGTCTTTATGTTTCTTCCTTTTTTAGGATTTTTAGATCCCTCTCATGTAAGCCCATGGAATTTTAACGTCTTTATGTTTCTTCCTTTTTTAGGATTTTTAGATCCCTCTCATGTAAGCCCATGGAATTTTAACGTCTTTATGTTTCTTCCTTTTTTAGGATTTTTAGATCCCTCTCATGTAAGCCCATGGAATTTTAACGTCTTTATGTTTCTTCCTTTTTTAGGATTTTTAGATCCCTCTCATGTAAGCCCATGGAATTTTAACGTCTTTATGTTTCTTCCTTTTTTAGGATTTTTAGATCCCTCTCATGTAAGCCCATGGAATTTTAACGTCTTTATGTTTCTTCCTTTTTTAGGATTTTTAGATCCCTCTCATGTAAGCCCATGGAATTTTAACGTCTTTATGTTTCTTCCTTTTTTAGGATTTTTAGATCCCTCTCATGTAAGCCCATGGAATTTTAACGTCTTTATGTTTCTTCCTTTTTTAGGATTTTTAGATCCCTCTCATGTAAGCCCATGGAATTTTAACGTCTTTATGTTTCTTCCTTTTTTAGGATTTTTAGATCCCTCTCATGTAAGCCCATGGAATTTTAACGTCTTTATGTTTCTTCCTTTTTTAGGATTTTTAGATCCCTCTCATGTAAGCCCATGGAATTTTAACGTCTTTATGTTTCTTCCTTTTTTAGGATTTTTAGATCCCTCTC